GAGGTGTCGGTGATGGGCCATAATAATCATATACATTGTATATTGACAAAATAAAAATTTAACGAAAAAAAAAATAAAATGTACAATGTTTTAAAAATATATGTATATCAGTTTAACATGAGTAAAACTACCACCCACATCAACACATAAAACATTTATTTTACATATGAATCATGTTATTTACCACATAAAAGTCTCTTAAATATTATATCCTGTATTGTATGTTTTGTAAATATAACACATCTTGTGATATGTTTGGATTCTGTCTAATAAAAATGTTGCTCTCTATCTCTATGACTTATAGTTCCCTTTAGATTCATATTATCTTTCAACTTTTTTTTTTTAAACTTTGACTTTTAATTTTTTAAGTGTTAATGACAATGATTTTATTTTTATTTTTTATGCTATTTTACTTCTCAAAATACATTGTATTTGATTTTTATGCCCCTTCACCCATTCCTCTACCCCCCTTGCCCCCCCACCAATTGTATCTGTTCACTTGACTTAAATAGTTCAAGGAATTTTTATGGTTGTCTGTCTTCTGCTCCCCTTTATTTGTTTGTGTGTTTGTTTATTTGTTTTTAGCTCCCACAAATAAGTGAGAACATGTGGTATTTCTCTTTCCGTGCCTGACTTGTTTCCCTTAATATAATTTTCTCTAAATCCATCCATGTTTTTGCGAGTGGTAGTATTTCATTCTTTTTTATAGCAGAGTGGTATTCCATTGTGTACATGTACCACTCCAGGAAGCAGGAGTGGGTACAGACTTCATGAATAGGACCCTAAAAGCACAGGCAGCTAAAGGAAAAATAAACAAATGGGATTATATCAAACTAAAAAGCTTCTGCACAGCAAAAGAAACAATCAACCGAGTGCAAAGACAACCAACAGAGTGGGAGAAAATATTTGCAAAATATACATCTGACAAAGGATTAATATCCAGAATATACAAGGAACTCAAACAATTTTACATTAAAAACCAAATAACCCAATTAAAAAATGGGCAAAGGAGCTGAATAGGCATTTCTCAAAGGAACATACACGAATGGCCAACAGACACATGAAAAAATGCTCAACATCACTCAGCATCTGGGAAATGAAAATCAAAACCACACTGAGAGACCATCTCACCCCAGTTAGGATGGCTAACATCTGAAAGTCTGAGAACGATAAGTGCTGAGGAGGTTGCGGAGAAAAAGGAACTCTCATACATTGTTGGTGGGACTACAAAATGGTTCAGCCTTTATGGAAAATGGCATGGAGGTTCCTCAAACAATTGCAGATAGATCTACCCTATGACCCAGCTATCCCACTGCTGGGCATGTACCCAGAGGAATGGAAATCATCCTGCCGAAGGTATACCTGTTCCCCAGTGTTCATCGCAGCACTATACAATAGCCAAGAGCTTCAACCAGCGCAAATGTCCATCATCTGATGAGTGGATAAGGAAACTGTTGTATATTTTGTAACTTTTGAAAGAACCAGGGAAGAAATGCACCAGGCTCCGGCCCATCCTGGCAGGCCTCGCCCCCGTATCCTAGCAACGCCGGTCCCGCCTCTCCAGGCTGGGGGCGCGCACGCCGGGGTCAGGTGCCGGCATCGCTGCTGCCTTGCGTGCGCGCTCCCGGCCGCGCCCCCACCGGTTCTCATATCTGCTGCGGCGGTGGCAGTTGGCGGTGACGCTTGGTCGGCGACTTGACGGCCGCGCTGCTCGTGCTGCTGGCTCTTGCGCTGCCCGGCATCAACGGAGACTCTGCGGCTGGTGAGGATGGACCGGGAGTCGGGGGGACCAGGGAGCCGGGGCCTGGGGAGCCGGGGTCGGGGGACGAGCGGGGTGAGGCCACCGGTTCTTGGGGTCCCGACCCGGAGAGCCCCGGGGGTGAGCAGCCGCCGACCCCGGCGGGCCTTCCGGGCGGGGGTGGCGCTGGAGGTGAGAGGACGGCCCTGGAGAATTCCTGGGGTGGCAGCAGTGCTTGGGGGTGAAGTCCCCGAGGTGTCGGAGGGCCCTAGGGGGGGGTCCCGACCCGGAGAGCCCCGGGGGTGAGCAGCCGCCGACCCCGGCGGGCCTTCCGGGCGGGGGTGGCGCTGGAGGTGAGAGGACGGCCCTGGAGAATTCCTGGGGTGGCAGCAGTGCTTGGGGGTGAAGTCCCCGAGGTGTCGGAGGGCCCTAGGGGTTCCCAAGCAGGGCTCTTCCCCAGGTGTCCCTGAGGTGCCTCTGTCCTGGGGTCCGTAAGTGTGAATCCCTGGGCTTGCTGGTGGGGTGGGGGTCCCTGGCTGAGGTGGAGGGTGGAGGAACGAACGTGACCCCTGGGTGAGGGCACGTGGAGGCGGCCCTCCTGCCTGTCCCCGCGGCCTTGGGAGGGAGGCCCCACGCCTGGGTCCTTGAACTTTCCCTTTGGACTGGAGCCAGGGGTCAGAGGCCTGTCTAGTGCCTGCTCAACCCATCCTCCCTGGCCTGGGTCCTGCAGGACCTGGGGAGGAGACCCGAGGGAGGGACCACGAGTGGTGGTGCACTCTGTCTGCGGGGTGTCAGGGCAACAGACTCTCCCCAACCCTAGGACTCCCTGGGGCCCTGCATGGTTGGTCCTGCCTGAAGAACTGGCAGTTGTCCTCCAGTAGATGCTGGGACCAAGTGTGTGTAAACAGCCCCCGAAAGGGTCAGGCCTGGTTGCTGGACCGGATTATCATTCTTTGCAGGATTTGGTCCTAAGGTCTTGCCCCAGTATGCACCTGCCCCCGGTGTTCCCTCCACAACACGAAGCCCGTGTTGGGCTCCAGTGAAGGGCCTTGCGTGCGCGGGGAGGCAGGAGCTCCCAGAGTTTGATGCATGTTGTTCTGTCGGATTTTGTCTCATTTGGGGGCACAGAATAATATGGCATCTAATCCACCCTCATCCTTTTACAAGTGGGGAAACTGAGGCCCAGGAGGGGAGTTCAGATGTTCCAAGGCCACAGTGAGGTCACCTTGGGCACCCAGTTCAGAGCAGGGAATGTTGAGAGCTGTTTTTAGCAGACTCCCATGGCCTTTGGGTCTCAGTGCTGTGCATAGGACTCGGGCTGTGTTTTGAGGGTGGGCACACGTGGTGTAGGGACTGCTCGTGGGAAAATGGATTGGGGTATATTTTTCCAGGAGAAAACCAAGACAGCCTCTCTTCTGCTTGATAGAAATTGTTTTTCTTTATTGAGACCCCAGTTTGGTTCTGGGTTAAAAATTCCTAGGGACAGACACATAGGAAGCCAAGTGTAGAAGCAGAGGAATGGGGGCTCTTGGAGAGGTGGGAGCAGCCTGAGCCGGGTCAGCTGTCCTGAGCAGGGAACCTCAGGCCCAGGGAGGGGCTGCCTCTTGTAGGAGCTTCACCACTACGTCTCTTCTTCCTAGTAATAAGAATGGCCCTTTATTGAATGCCTCCTGGCCAGGGCGTTGGCCCAGCAGTGAGGCAGCTCTCTGGAAGACACAGAGCCCCCAGCGAGGTGAGTGCAAGACGTAAGCCACTGCAGGAAGAGCTGGGCTTCTCTGGGTTTCAGGCCCAGCACAGGCTTCCCACACCGAATTCATTTGGATGGACTAACGGGTAAAGGAGGTTGGTCTTCCCCTGCCAGCTGTCGCACACGGTGGTTCTGTTCCATCTCCACCAGGGACAGAGAAGGGTTTCTGCTGAGCACAAAGCTTAGCACTCGGGTAAATGACCTTTGTATGTTCCCTGGCTGTGACCACCAGAGCTCCAGCGCAGGAAGCCATTGGTGTCTGTGCCATGTGTCAGGGGCCGTCCACACCCAGTCCCACCATGCAGCAAGGTGTGCATGTGGTGGGGATGTCTGAGTCTGTCTGGGCATGTGTTTGAGTTTTGTTTTCCTTTTTTGCTCTTAACAGCTCCACTTTTCGAAGGACTTGCAAAGATCTGAAAGGCTGGGTCCCACGTGTTTGTTCTCCATGAGTGAACACTCTTGTTTTCTCTTATGGGACTAGTGACTATGTTTCCCCATCCTGGCCAGGACAGCTGTCGAGAAATGTTATGTGGGGATGTCTGCTGGTGGCAAGTCCCCCCTGGGTTTGCTAGCTGAGCTCCCGAGGGCCTGTGGGGACTGGGTCCATGGGTGCAAGTGGGCTGGGCCCGAAGGTGCAGTTTGATAGAGGCTGCTGCTATGGGTGTACTTTGGGGGACTGGTGCTATGTGGGTACTTCAGTGGGGGCTGGACCCATGGGGGTACTTTGGTGGGTCTGGGCCTGTGGTTGAATTAGGTGTGGCCTGGGCCCGTGGGTATAGTTGGGTGGGGGTTGGGCACGTGGGTATGCTTTGGAGGTGTCTAGGCCCATTGGGGTGCTTTGGGGGCTGCTGGCCCCACGGAAGTCATTGAGTGGGGCTGGGCCCATGGGTGCAGCTGTGTGGGGGTTAAGACCATGGATGCAGTTGGTTAGGCCTGGGCCTTTGGGTGTTCTTTTTGGGTTGCTGGACCTGTGGGGGTACTTTGGGAGGGGCTGGGCCCATGGGATTAGTTTGGTGGGTGCTGGATCAATGGGTGCATTTGGGGGAGGGCTGAGCCAGTGTTTTGTGCCCATGGGTGCAGTTGGCGATGGCTGACCATGGGTGCACTTTGCTGGGGTCTGGGCCCATGGGTTCAGTTAGGATGGCTGGGCTCAGGTGTGTAGCTGGCAAGGGTCATGGGGGCAGTTGGTGGGCAGTTGGTTTGGGCTGGGCTTATGGGGGCAGTTGGCAGGAGGCTGGTCCAGTGGATGCAGTTGGTGGGGGCTGGGACTGTGGGTGTAGTTGGTTTGGGGCTGGGTCTGTTGGTGCAGTTGAGGGGAGGCGGGACCCATGGGTGCACATTTGTGGAGCCTGGGCCCGTGGGTACAGTTGGGGGGAATAGGACCGTGGGTGCAATTGGGTAGGGACTGGGCCTGTGGGTGCAGTTGGGGCAGTCTGGGCATGAGGGGGCTGTGTCCTTGGGTTCAGATGGGGGGGAGTGGCCAGTTGGTGTACTTTAGTGCAGGCTGGGCCCGTGGGTGCAGTTGCTGGGGACTGGCCCCTTGGGCGCAGTTAGGTGGGTGCTGGGTCTGCCCATGGGGCTAGGCCTGTGGGGTTTTTTTTGGCTGGGGCTAGGTTTAAGGGTTCTGTGCCTGTGGGTGCAATTTGTTGGGGGCTGGGTACTGGGTGCAGTGTGCTGTGGGCTGGGCCTGTGGATGCGCTTTGGTGTGGGCTGGGCCTGTGGGTACACTTTGGTTGGGGTGGGTCTATGGGTGCAGTTGGTTGGAAACTGGGCATTTGTGTGCATTTGCATTGGGGCTGGGTCCATTGGTGCACCTGTCTGGGGGCAGGGCCCTTGGGTGCAGTTCGCGGGTTGGGCCTGTTTGTACACTTTGGTGGGGGCTGGAACCGTGGCTGCAGTTGTTGGGGCCTGGACCTGTGCATTCAGTTGGGTGGGGATGGCACCCATGGGTGCAGTTGAGTGGGGTTTGGGCACGTGGGTGTGTTTTGTGGGTGTCTGGGCCTGTGGGGGTGCTTTTGGGGGGGCAGGCCCCACAGATGCCATTGGGTGGGGGTTGGCCCGTGGGTGCAGTTGTGTGGGGGTTAAGACCATAGGTGCCGTTGGTTAGGCCTGGGCCTGTGGGTATTCTTTTTGGGGTGCTGGGCCCTTGGGGGTACCTTGGGATGGGCTGGGCCCACAGGGTGTTTGGCGGGTGCTGGATCCATGGGTGCATTTGGGGGAGGGCTGGGCCAGAGGGTTCTGTGGCTGTGGGTGCAGTTGGGTGTTGCTTTGCCCCCCTCAGATTTGTCACCCCACTTCCCCTGGGTGACGGAGCCACAAAGGATTACTCAAAGCCCATCTCTTCTGAGCAGTGAGAAGCCCTGAAGTGGTTTAATCTCCCCCGGAACCCTCAAGTGAGAGGCATTCCTTCCTTGGGAAATTAACCCCGAATTGGGGTTCTCTTCCTACATTTATTCTCCAGACCAGGAAGTTACAGGAAGAGAACATAGATGGGGCAATAGTTTAACAGTATAGGCTGGTAACTTTCAGTGAAACAAGTCAGATGACATTCCATTAAGGCAATTAAGTGGTCCACCAACAAAAGCTTGATCTTAGCAAACATTCCCTTCTTACAGCAATTTCTCAGTATCTTTACATATCAATCAGTAACTAGTCTGTCTTTGAGCCAGCAACCTTGCTGTGCCATAAATCTTTATCTTACAACAGAGACTTTATAGCTTGAGGAAAATTTCCTGTTCTCTGCAAGGTCAATGTTTTAAACTGCAAAGCTTTTGAAAATCAGGCCCTGTGAAGTACATTTGCTTTATGAATCCTCTACATTTGGGGATGGGTGACCGTGGGTGCACTTTGCTGGGGTCTGGGCCCATGGGTGCAGTTAGGATGGTTGGGCTCCAGTGTTTAGCTGGGGGTTCCTGGTCCCATGCATGCACCTGGGTGGGGGCTGGGCCCATGGGGGCAGTTGGTGGGGTCTGAACCTGTGGGGGCAGTTGGCAGGGGTTGAGCTTGTGGGGGCAGTTGGCAGGGGGCTGGGCCCTTGGATGCAGTTGTTGGGGGCTGGGCCCTTGGGTGCAGTTGGGTGGGGTCTGGGCCCGTAGGTGCAATTGAGTAGGCCTGGTCCGTGGGTGTACTTTGGGAAGACCTGACCCCATTGGGTTTCTTTGGTGGGGTCTAGGCCCATTGTACTGTTCTGCTGGGGGTAGGGCCCTAGGGGGCTGTGACCTTGGGTACAATTGTTGGGGGGCTGGGCCGTAGGTGTAGTTGGTGGGGGCTGGTCCCCTTGGGGCACTTTGTGGTGGCTGGGCCCATGGGGGCACTTGGCGGGGACTGGGCCTGTCCAGGCAGTTGGTGGGGCTTTGGGCCATTAATGGTGCAATGGGTCCCTGGGTGCACTTTGGTGTGCACTGGTCCCTTGTGTGTGCAGTTAGGTGGGGACTTGGCCAGTGTTAGTTCTTTGGTGGTGGAAGAGCCCGTGGGTGGAGTTTTGGGGGTGCTGGATCTGCCAGTGCCATTGTAGGGGGCCTGGACCTGTGGGTGCACCTTTGTGGGGGCTGGGCTTGTGGGTGCAGTTGGATGGGGGCTTGGTCAGTGTTAGTTCTTTGGTGGTGGAAGGGCCTGTGGGTGCAGTTGTGGGGGTCTGTATTTGTAAGTGCCATTGTAGGGGGGCTGGACCTGCAGATGCACCTTTGTGGGAGCTGGGCACGTGGGTGCACTTGATGCAGTTTGGTGGTAGTTGGGCCCATGGGTTCACTTTTGTGGGGGCTGTGCCCATGGGTGCAGTTGGGACTGGGCAAGTGGGTGCAGCTGGGGGGAGCCTGGGCTTGTGGGTACAGTTGGGTGGGGGCTGCACCCAGGCATGCACTTGGGTGGGGGTTGGGTGTGTGTGTGTGCTTTGGGGAGTTTTGGGTGTATGGATGTGCTTTGGCGGGGGTGGCTCTGTGAATGCTGTTGGGTGGGGCTGGGCCCATGGGTGCAGTTGGGTGGGGGCTGGGCCCATAGGTGCAGTTGAGTAGGCCTGGGTCCATGGGTGTACTTTTTGGGGGGTTGGGTCTGTGGGGGTACCTTGGTGGGGGCTAGGTCCGTGGGGGACTTTGGCAGGCACTGGGCCCATGGGTGCAGTTGGGGGGGCTGGGCAAGTAGGTGCAGCTGGGGGGAGCCTGGACCTGTGCATGCAGTTGGGTGGGGGCTGGGCTCATGGTTGCAGTTGCTGGGGGCTGGCCCCCTGGGTGCAGTTAGGTGGGTGCTAGGCCTGTGGGTTTACTTTGGGAGGGTCTGTTCCCATGGGATTTCTTTGTGGGGGCTAGGCCTGGTGGTGCTGTTGTGGGGGGACTAGATCTGAGAGGGCTATGCTGGTGGGTGCAGTTGGCGGGGGCTGGGCCCTGGGTGCAGTTTGGTGTGTGCTAGGCCAGTGGGTACACTTTGGTTGGGGTGGGGCTATGGGTGCAGTTGGTTGGGGACTGGGCACTTGTGTGCATTTGCACTGGGGCTGGGCCCATTGGTGCACCTTTCTGGGGACAGGGCCCTTACGTGCAGTTGGGGGCTGGGCCCGTTTGTACACTTTGGTGGGGCTGGGTGGGTGGGTGCACTTTGGTGGGTCTGTGCCTGTAGTTGAACTTAGGTGTTGGTTGGGCCCGTGGATGCCCTTTGGTGGGGGCTGGAACCATGGCTGCAGTTGTTGGGGCCTGGACCTGTTCTTGCAGTTGGGTGGGGACGAGGCCTGTGGGTGCAGTTGTTGTGTCTGGGCCCATGGGTGCAGTTGAGTGGGAGTTGGGCATGTGGGTGTGCTTTTTGGGCCCATTGGTGCACCTTTAGGGTGCAGTTCGGGGGCTTGGGCCCATTTGTACACTTGGTGGGCCTGGGCCAGTGGGTACAGTTTGCTGGGGGCTGGACCTATGGGTGCAGTTGGGTGGGAGCTGGGCCTATGGGTACACTTTTCTGAGGGCTGGGCCAGTGGTAGTGCTGTGGTGGGGGTGTGCCCATGGTAGTGCTTTGGGGGGTGCAGGGCCCATGTGTGTGCGCTTTGAGGAGGGCTGTGCATGCAGTTGAGTTGGGGCTGGGCCTGTGGGTGCAGTTGAGAGGGGGCTGTGCCCATGGGTGCACTTTTGTTAGGGCTGGGTTGGTGGTTGCAGTTGGGGCGGCTGGGCTGGTGGTTGTGTTTCGGTGGGGGCTGGGCCCGTGGTCGTGCTTTGAGGGAGGGCAAGGCCCGTGCATGTGCCTGTAGGGGGGCTGGACATGTGGGTACAGTTGGGGGAGCTGGATCCATGGGTGCAGTTGTGGGGGATTGGACCCACAGGTGTATGTTTGTGGGGCCAGCACGTGGGTACAGTTGGGTGGGAACTGGGCCCCTGCCCGCACTTGGGTGAGGTTTGGGCATGTGGGGGTGTTTTGTGGGGCACTGGCCCCATGGATGCCGATGGGTGGGTCTGGGCCATTGGGTGCTTTTGAGTAGGGCCTGGACCTGTTGGTGCAGTTGGGTGAGGGATGGGCCTGTGGTTATACTTTTGTGGGCCTGGGTTCCTGGGTGTACTTTTAGGGGTTGGGTCTGTGGGGGTCATTGGTCAGGGGCTGGGCCCATGGGTGCTTTGGGGGGAGAGACATGACAGAGTGTTGCTTTGATCCCCATGGATTTGTCACCCCACTCCCCCTGGGTGACAGAGATGCAAAGGCTTATTCAAAGCCCATCTCTTCTGAGTAGTGAGAGACCCCAAAGTGGTCAATCTCCAGCTGGAACCCTCAAGCGAGAGGCACCCCTTCCTTGGGAACTTAAACCCGAATTGGGGTTCTCTTCCTGCATTTATTTCCCAGACCAGGAAGTTACAGGAAGAGAACCTAGGTGGGGTTATAGTTTAACAATATAGACTGGTAACTTTCAGTGAAACAAGTCAGATGACATTCCATTAGACAATTAAGTGATCCACCAACAAAGGCTTGATCTTAGCAAACATTCCTTCTTATAGCAATTTCTCAGTATCTTTACTTAACAATCAGTAACTACTCTGTCCTTGAGCCAGCAACCTTGCTGTGCCACAAATCTTTATCTTACACCACAGACTTTATAGCCTGAGGAAAATTTCCAGTCCTCCACAAGGTCAATATTTGAAACTGCAAGGCTTTGCTCTTGTGTAGGTCTGGCCAAGCCTGCCCTTAGTGGCACTGGGGCCCTTCGTATAGGTCTGGCCAGGGAGGCCATGAGTGGCAGGCCATGGAGTATCTTAGAGGCAGGCCAGGGTGGCCATAGGGGGATTCTTGTTTTCTTCCTTTCTTTCTAAGGGCCCCCCTGCCCTGGGCTGACCGTAGGGCCCCATGGCCTAGCCTGCCCAAGGGGCCAATTGTACTGTTCTGCTCCTACAGGCCCCTGAGGCTGGAGTACTGGTAAGGGCATCCTGCTGCTTTCTTTTCTTTTTTTCTTATTTTTTGTTTTGGTATTTTTCTGTCCTTTGTATTTTGTTTTGTTTTCCTTTCTCCTTTTTTGGAGGGGGGGAGGTTCTCTTCTCTCTTTTTTTTTTTCTTCTTTTTGTTTTTTTCATTTTGTTGGGGTTTTCTTTTCTGTGGGTTTTCTGGGATTTTTCTATTTTGGGGGGAGTTCTTTTGGGGTGGATTTTCTTTTTGTTAGGGTTTCTTCTTTCTGGGAGGGCTTTTTTTTTTGTTGTTTGGTGTCTTCTTTTTGTGGGAGTTTTCTTCTTGAGGAGTTTTTGGTTTTTTTCTTTTACTTGGTTTTCTTTTTGTTGGGGTTTTCTTTTGGGGTGTATTTTGTTGGGGTTCTCTTTTCGTTGGGGTTCTCTTTTCATTGGGATTTTCTTTTTGGATGGTTTTCTTTTTTTGCTGGGGTTTTCTTCTTTGGAGCTTTTTTTGGGAGTTTTCTTGTTTTCCTTGGGAGATCTTTTTCTTTTGGGGCAGTTTTTTCTTTTCATGGGGGGTTCTCTTCTTTCTGTTGGGGTTTTCTACTTTTCATTAGGGTTTTGTTCCATGGTTTGTTTTTTTTTTCTTCTTTTATGGGGTTTCTTTCTTTCTGTTGGGGTTTTTCTTCTTTTAGGGTTTCCTTCTTTGGGGGTTTCTTTCTTTTTGGGGTGGTTTCTTCTTTTGTTGGGGTTTTCTCTTCTGGAAGTTTTTCTTTTTGTGTGCAGGGGTGTTCTTTTTGTTAGGGTTTTGTTCTTTTCATTGGGATTTTGTTCTTTCATTGGGGTTTTGTTTTCATTGGAGTTTTGTTTTTTCTTTTGGGGGCTTTCTTACTATTGCTGCCATTTTCTTTTTATTGGGGTTTTTCTTTTTGTCATGGGTTTCTTATTTTCATTGAGGTTTCTCTTCGTTGGGGGTTTCTTGTTTTGGGGGTGCTTCTACTTTGGGTTTTCTTGTTTTGGGGGATTTCTTTTTTGAGGGGTTTTTCTTCATTGTGGTTTTCTTTTCACTGGGCTTTCTTTTGGGGGGGTTCTTTTTTGGGGAGTTTTCTTTTGGTGGATTTTTCTTCTGTTGGGGTTCTCTTCTTTTTGTTGGGTTTGTCTTCTTTTGGAATTTTCTTCTTTATGTTGGGGTTTTCTTTTCGTTGGGATTTTCTTCCCTTTTTGGGTGTTTTCTTCTTCATTGGGGTATTTTCTTCCTCTTCTGTGTGTTTTCTTCTGCTTGGGGTTTTCCTTTTCTGGGTGTTTTCTTCTTTTAGGTGCTTTCTACTTCTTTGGGGTGTTTTCTGTTTTGTGTGGTTTCTTTTTGGGGTTTTCTTCTTTTCTTGGGTGTTTTCTTCTTTTGGCTGTTTTCTTCCTTTGTTGGTGTTTTCTTCCTTTTCTGGGTGCTTTCTTTTTCTTTTGGGTGTTTTCTTCTTTTGGCTGTTCTCTTCTTTTGGCTATTCTCTTCCTATGTTGGTATTTTCTTCCCTTTCTGGGTGTGTTCCTCTTCTTTTGGGTGTTTCCTTCTTCTTTGGGATATTTCCTTTTTTTTTGGCTCTTCTCTTCTTCTTTTGGGTATTTTCTTCCTTTTATGGGTGTTTTATTCTATTTTTGGACATTTTCATCTTTTGAGTGTTTTTTCCTTTTTGGTGTTTTCTCCTTCATCTTGGTGCTTTCCCTTTCTGTTTTGTTTTTCTTCTTTTTCTTTTTTGGTTTTTTCCTTTTCTTTTAAAGGTTTTCTTTATTTTTTGATTATTTTAAAGAAAAGGAGTCTTAACATGATAAAGGGGTGACTGGGAAGGAGTGTCTGGGACAGGGTGGCAGAGACAGGGTGGCAAGGATGGGGTTGCAGGGACAGGGAGGGGGCAGAGCCCTGCACCCCACACTTCAGATGTCCAGGATCTTTATATCTCCATACTTTCCTGCTCGATAAAACAATGGGAAGCAGGGGTTGTTGCTGAATGCTTCGCCCTCCTGGCATTTCTGTACATCCTGTGGCAGCTGCATGGTCAGAGGGAAGGGAGCAATGAATACTCTCAGGACTGCAGTGCACGACTCTGGGGTCACCTGTCCCCCAGGCCAGAGCTCCCTCTGTCCTGGCTCTGGCACCACCACTCCCCAGAGGCTGGTGCCCATCTCTTGTCCTTCCCAGATGGGGCAGAGATTCCCGTCTCCTTTAGGTCTCCCAGCTACTCCTGCAGCTGGCCTAAATTCTTGGCCAACTACATGTTTACATGCTGCCCTGACTGCAGCTGACTGCTGACCTCCATGTTCTAATTGGTCTGGATGGAGAGAAGCAATTGGCAGCCACCTGATGGAGCTGGAGACCCACAGCACAGGGAAGGGGGCACAGTGCACTGGCTCACAGGGTGCCTTCCCAGGTATCATTTTGTGTGACGTCTCCACCACCCCATTTGATAGGTGGGGAAAAAAAGGCCCAGAGGGAGGGAGCAGAGGGCAAGCCGGCAGGGCATGTGGAGCACCAGCCTGACAAAGCCGACCTGCAGCTCAGCCAGAAGCTCCTGGAGCTCATGGGCCTGGGACCACGTGTGGCTGGCAGTGGCACGGTGGTGCTGCATGCCCTCCAGCACCTGCCTGTGCTACTTGCCCCAAAGCTCAGCAGCCTGCCCTAGCTCCAGCAGCCACTCCTCCTGCTCCTCGTTCATGTGTCTCAGACTCTCATTGTCCTTTACCTGAGCCTAGAGCTGGCCCGCTGGGCTCTCCAGCTGCTTCTGCAGTTGCTCAGCCTCCACCTGCAGCTGCCGTTCTTTCTGGGAGGGCCCTGCTGGGGCTCTGGGTGTGGAGGCTCAGCTGAGAAAGGAAGTGGAGTATAAGGGCCTCTGGCCTCTGGAGTTGCAAAAAACCCTCTTCTTGGCCCAAGCTCCTAATTCAGGCTCCTTGCCCCAGACCATGGCTTCCTGGATAATCATTCCTCACACCCAGATGACGGTCAATTGTTCAAACCACTTTCAAATAGAATTCTTTACATTCTTGTGCTCAAGACAACTGTGGGTGGCTGACAATGGGCACTCCACCCCTCTCTGCAGATGGGAACACTGAAGCTCAGGTGACAGAACTTGCCATCTGCTGGTGCAAACATCTTTCTCTTCCCCCTGCCTGCTCCCAGGCCACCCCAGCCCCAGCTAACCTGTCTGCCTGCTCACATAGGCGAAGAAGGTCTCTGGCACCTGGACATGACTTGGGCCATGCTCGTCCATCAAAGTGTGAACCTGCCGAGAGCACAGGGGCATGAGCCATGGAGGGGGTGGCTGCAGGAGGGACAGGCTGCCACCTTCCTCTCTACACCCACCCCCATAAAACCAAAATCTTGGGCCTCAGCCACTCACTTGTTGTAGCAGGAGATTAGATTTGTTGATCTTTTTCATCCAGAGCTGCAAGGCTGCCTTCTTCATCTCAAGGACCTGCAGCTTCCCCTTCAGTAGGGACTGGTGGTGGTTGAGGTTCTCATAGTTGTTCCTATGGCCAGAGGTAGTGGAGAATGGAAAGAATGAGGAACAGAAAGGACCACTTTTGTGACCAACACACTGACTTTGACACACAACCGGAGGACCACAGCATGGGAAGGGGTCCCCAGGAATCAACAGTCACAGGTGGCAGTTCAGAGAGGGGACATGAATTGCCTGAGGCCACACATGAGTCATTGGCACAGCTAGGGCCACAACATGGCTCTGCACACATCCAAACCTGTGCATCCACCTCACTGTACTCACCTGTCCCCTCCCACCTCCCACCACATCGCCTGCGCTGAGGCCCTCAGACCTGCCATCCACCTTCCCCTCCTACTTGTTGTACTCAAAGTGCAAGTGGAGAGTATCTCTCTCTTTCTTCACGTTGTGGTAGGACTGCAAATACAGAAAGGTGGTCAGGATTTGGCAGGGAGAAGGTGTAGTTGGGACACACTAACACTGACAGTAACCATTCAGCAGTGACATGCCCTCCCGCTCAATCACACTTGACATCTTTTTCAAGGCATTTCCAAGCCCATGTTCTCAGTTGGTTTTGCTAAGAACGAAGTAATGGTGGAAGAGGCAGGGAAAGAGATCTGATGTACAGCTGGCTGACAGAGGCCCAGGGATACCGGGTCACGTTGCCATTGTCATTACTGTCATCACCATCGTTTGACTCTGTATTGAGCACATCACCAGGTGCCATGCTAACAATCCATCAAACCCTCACAACCACCATAGGGGAGGGTGTTACTATTACTATCTCCATTTTGTAGATGAATTAAAAGGTATTAGAGGTTAAGTGCTAACATCACTCACAGCTGGGATGTGAACATCCAGGTCTATCTGATTCTCTAAGGCCATTTTTCCCTGGGGGTGGAGGCACAAGCATGAGGGCAGGTGCTGGGTTCACCCTCTCGGCCTCCTTCTGCTGTGCAGAGGTCAGAGAGGCTCTACTGCAGCTCTTTTATCTGCTGTTCACGGGAGCACAGGTAGCTTGCCAGATGTTCACACACTCCTGGAATGACAGAGGTTGAGATGGAGCCAAAGGACTCCCCCGAAGGCCCACCAAGGCACCAGGTTGAAAGAAGAAGAGTGTCCAGGTTCACACCTGCTTTTTGCCAGACTGCATGGTGAGCATTCTTCAGCACTCTCTGTAACTGTGCCTTTTCGAATATTAAGACATCAATAGCCCAGATCTGAGCCTTTGGGAGAAAAGCCAAACAGGTGTTGAGAGAGAAGGAAAGGAAGTTTCTCTAAAGGACGTGATGAATACCATACGGTCCACTCACTTGCAGTTTTTCATGCAGGAATTTCATCTGCTGACACCCACTCTCCTGTTACAGGAAGAAAGAAACACCTCTTACTGGGGAGGCAGAGATGCAACAACAAGGAACAGGCCCCCAGAATGCCACCAGTGGCCCAGGAGAAGCCCAGCAGGGAGCACAGATTCTCAGGGACTTTGTGGGGCTGAGGGTGGGGTGCAGGGGTCAGCCTTGTCCAGGTTGGGAGTGGGCAAGACGAGCCTGGGGCATCTCCACCTGAGTCTTTCCCCAAACCCATCAGCCATGGAATGAGTGAACAAAGAAACCATGTTCCTCTTTCCACTTGATCCAGACTTTCCTGGTGCCATGTCCTCCATGTGGACAGGCACAGGAAGGTAACTGAGGTTGTCCCTCTCAGCTCCATTCCCCAGACTGGGAAGTGGTGGGCAGGTGCCAGGAATGGATTCTCAAGGAAAAGCTCTCAGACCCTATGAGGACACAAATTGACAAACTCTCCTCGAACCCCCAAGGAGAGAGAATTTGGGTGTTTGTTGCTTTTCACTCACAGCTACACAGCTGAACATCTGAATCTGTATTCTCTTTAAAGGACAACCACAGAAACCTCTAGAAATGGAGGCTGAGAAAAGAAAGACTACCGTTCTTCCAGTGTGTGATTCAGAAGGGTGCATGCATTCACCGTGACTCACACACCACGGGACAGGGACTGTTCTTCATATAAGGGATCCGGGAATGAAAGGGACAGGCAAGATCCCTGTCTCCCTGACATCTCATGTGTGCCTAGAAATCTTTCATTCTGAGAGCTAAAAGGGACCTTTGACACCCTGTAATTCTGTCTCACAACACTCAATCCCAGGCAGTAAAGGGGGCTTGACCAAACCAAAGATAGAGAAAAGCAGGAACTAAGTCAGGGTGGGAACACACGGCTCCTGACAACAGTCAGCCCAGTGTTTCCAGCAGGGGGACAGCCCAGGGCACGTGTGGCGAGGACTCAAGCAGGAGTGTCTAGAGAAGAGAGAGTGGGCAGACAGGACAGCAACAGAAAGCCACGCTGTGTGGTCTCTGGCCCCTCCTGCTGAGACTTAGGCCCCCTAGCACCCCATTCTCCCTTGGCTTCAGGCCCCCAAGGGGAAATTGGAGCCCAGGATTGGCAGTGTGGAAACTGGGCCACACTGGAGTCTTACCAGTTCCTGGATCACGCTCCTCAGGTGTTTATTCTGTACAAAGATTGAGTACTGGGCTTCTGCCAGGTCTAGGCACCAGTCCTGAGGTGCAAGAGGAGAGGAGAAGTTGGAGGAGGGTTTTGGGGAGAGAGAGAGCAATCATTAGGGGTGGGGGTGGGCGCTCAGGTGGCAGCGGGGTAGCCAGGCCCCAGCAGGGAGGTGGTTGGGAGCTGGCCTGCAGGAGCACCTACCTCCAGCTCCCTCACATAAGCTGATGATTTGAGGTCCTCCCTATTGGTGAATGATGTGGGCCAGGAGAGATGAGAGCGCACGTGGAGACACTTTGTCCTCAATGACTAAGCCCTCTGATGTTCTTTCTTCCCCGTCAACTGGGAAAAGTCTCTTTCCTGCCTCACCTGGACCAGGCCCTCCTCCTGTAGCCCCTCTGTGCCCACTTCTCAAGGTCTCTCTCCCCCATCATCCCTCCCTCCTGAGCAGCTCTTATGCCATAGGTTTTTTTGTTTGTCTTGTTGGGGTCTTTGGTGGTGACCAGTAGAGGGATTGATCCCTGGGCCTTGGTGTTATCAACATCATCCAGTGCTTTCTGCAGTAGGACCCAATGGGGTAGCCAAGCTCATGGTCCATCCTTTGTGTGTACAGCATCAAGGGAGAAGCTCAGAGAAGAGGGGACGAGCCCAACACTGCCCAGTGAGTCAGCTGGTCCAGGATCTTCTCTCTTATAAGTCCCTGCCTCAGTTTCCTTCTATCCTACTTTCCTTCCCCATCTGTCCCCTTCTGGGCCCCAATTTCTGGGGTACCTCAGACACAAAACCATTCAGCCACCTCTTGATCCCCTGTTCCCAGGATCCTGGCCAGCCAAGACTCACCTTGTGAGGTGACTGGAAACCACCATGTGTGGTTCACTCAGAGCTGCCAGATTTTAGTTTGTTATTTGCTCTGGGACCAGCAAAGCTGTTCCTTTCTTTGTACTCTCTTAACTGTGAAAAGGAAAAGTGGTATTTAGAGATTTATAAGCCCCTCTATTCTCATCCTGCTTTACAGTGTTTACAAAATATTATTTCTCTCATCTTATTTAATGCTACCAGCAACCCACAAGGTGTTGTAATAATCACCAAGTGGCTGAAGAAATGAGCTGATAACAGGACTAAAAAAAGGCAATAATGAAATTTAACTTCAGTTGTCTGGGTTTTTGTCATGAATCAGCAGCTGCCAGGGGGCAAAATACAAATCAGACATCTGGGTCCTCTCTTAAAGAGCTGTTAGAGCTGCACACCAGTACTTCTCAAACATTTATGTCAATGTTTCCTAATGGCAGAAGTCAGTGAGGGCACACCCCTAGGGATCTGGGGTCCTAACAGAAAGAGGACAACCCAAGCATCATTTCAGAGAGAAGTCTATTAAGTTCTTTTTTTTTTCGTAATATTTTTTTAATTGGCATGTGTTGATTGTACATATTTATGGGGTACAGAATTATATTCAATACATGTATACAATGTGTGATGATCAAATCAGGGTAATTAGCATATCCATTACTGCAAAAATTTATCATTGCTTTCTTTCTTTTTTTTTTTTTTTTCCCTTTTTGTCTTTTTTCGTGACCGGCAACGGATCGCAACCCTCAGTGTCGCGCCCGTACCGGACCGGGACCTGCTACGGGATCACAACCCTCAGTGTTGCTCCCGCACCTCGCTCAGCCAGTGAGCGGCCGGTCTGTATGTGGGATCCGAACCCTCGGCGGGAGCGCCGCCACGCTCCCAAGCAGCGCACTGTAGCAGTGAGTATAGTTATATATGAGACAAAAAGAACATAAGAAAAACGCCGCCGCACTTCCCAAGCGGCGCACTGTAGCAGTGCACCACTGGGCCGGCACTATCATTGCTTTCTGATGAGAGCATTTGAACTCCTTTTCTAGCCATTTGAAAACATATAATAAATTATTGTTAATTATAGATGCCTAGCACTACTACAGACCACCAGCACTATTTTTCCTGTCTAGCTCTGATTTTGTCTCCTTTAACCAACCTCTCCCAATGCCCCCTTCTCCCTCTCCTTCCCAGCCTCTAATAACCACAATAATAGATGTTGTTGTTATTGTTGTACTGGCTGATGATAAAGCCAAGGCATGAGGGCTAACACTGATGTGTTCGCAGGAACGTCCAATAGACCCCAGCTACTGTGCAGTGTACACATACAGAGGTGAGCAAGTCCTGTCCTTACAAGGGTTTAATTAACTCTCTAGTTGAGTAGGAAAGGTATAAATACAGGAGAAGATAAACAGTAACACAAAGCTTAAAGGAGAAGGGAGAAGGGAAATAACATTTTTCAAGCACCTACCTCATGCTAGGCACTTTCCATACCAGTTTTAGTTCATTAATGTTCCTAAGAACCCCATAAAGTAGGAATTAACTCCAACTTATAGGGCAGGAAACTGACACCAAGGGAAGTAATTCACTTACAACACTGAAGAGGTAGATCTTGGATCAGACTTGATATGCTTGAAAGTCTATTAAGTTCTTACAAATCTCAGGGTGGCCCATTGTGTAGAGGATTCATAAAATAAATGTACTTCACAGGGCCTGGTTTTTCAAAGCCTTGCAGTTTCAAATATTGACCTTGCAGAGGACTGGAAATTTTCCTCAGGCTATAAAGTCTCTGTTCTAAGATAAAGGTTTGTGGCACAGCCAGATTGCTGGCTCAAAGACAGACATGTTACTGGTTGTTATGTGAAGATACTGAGAAATGGCTGTAAGAAGGGAATGTTTGCTAAGATCAACCTTTTGTTGATAGGACCACTTAATTGCCTTACTGAAGTGTCACCTGGCTTGTTGCACTGAAAGTTACCAGCCTATACTGTTAAACTGTAACCCCACCTATGTCTCTTCCTGTAACTTCCTGGTCTGGAAGATAAATGCAGGAAGAGAATCCCAATTCAGGGTTACTTTCCCAAGGAAGGGATGCCTCTCACTGGAGGGTCCTGGGAAAGTTAACCACTTCAGGGCTTCTCACTGTTCAGAAGAGATGGACTTTGAGTAATCCTTTGCATCTCCGTCACCCAGGGGAAGTGGGGTGACAAATCTGTGGGGGGCAAAGCAACACCATTGGTCACTTGGCACAGTGTGGTGCTGATAACACCAAAGCCATGGGTTCGGATCTCTACATAGTCATAGCCGGTTGGCTCACTTGGGACAGCATGGTGTTGACAACGCCAAGTCAAAGGTTAAAATCCCATTTCTAGTCAGATCATAAAGTTTATTTGCAAGAAACAACAAACAAGATTTGCTAGGAAAATCCTGAAAGAGAATTGATGGGTAGGGTGTTAGCTCTACCAAATTTAATATATATTTAATTTCTATAATTGTAAGAGTGAGGAACTGGTACATAAAGAAACAGACCCATGGAACAGAATTTAAAAAAATCTAGAAATAAACCCAATTGTATGTGGACAGTTAACATACGATAAAATCATGGCAACATCTCAAGTCAGTGGAGAAATACAAACCGTATAATAAGAGGTATTGGGATAGCTGGAGTGTCATGTAGAAAAAGATGAAATTCAATCTACTCTTCTCACCGGATTCCAACTGTAAAAATGTCAAAACCAAAACCATAGCAATACTGGAAGAATGAGCAAATGCCTCTACCATCTGGGAGTTGAACAAGCTATGACAACATTCCAGAAGAAATAAGGAGAAAGACTGACAAATTTGACTGCATTAAGAAAACACAACTTTTGGTATACACATCAAATGGGATATTATTCAGCCGCAAAAAGGAAGTTCTGACACATGCTACAATGTGGATGAACTTTGAGGACATTGTGCTCAGTGATGGAAGCCAGACACAAAAGGACAAACACCGTGATCCCATTCATATGAGGTCCCTAGAGTCGTCAGATCCACAGAGACAGAAAGTAGAATGGGGAGTGCCAGGGGCTGGGGAGTGAGGGTTTAATGGGGACAGTTTCAGTTCGGGAAGATGAGAAAGTTCTGGAGATGATGGTGCTGATGGTTGCACAGCAGTGTGAATGTACTTAATGCCACTGAGCTGTGCACTTAAACGTGGTTAAGATGGTGAATTTTTTTTTCCTTTTTGTCTTTTTTCACGTCCGGCAACGGATCGCAACCCTCAGTGTTGCGCCCATACCGGACCGGGACCGGCAATGGGATCGCAACCCTTGGTGTTGCCCCTGCACCTCGCTCAGCCAGTGAGCGGGAACCAGTCTGTATGTGGGATCCGAACCCTCGGCGGGAGCGCCACCGCGCTCCCAAGTGGTGCACTGCAGCAGTGCGCCACCAGGCCGGCCAAGATGGTGAATTTTATGTGTATTTTACTACAATTAAAAAGTATGTGAAAAAGTTATTTTCATGAATTTCCCTAATTAGAAACAAAGCATGAAAATCCTTCCATGGCTCTGCCTTGTCCCAGGGTAGCCTGGGGCTTACCTCGGTTCTCCATGCCTAGTACCTTTGTAAATGCCTAGCTCAGCCCTGCTCTATTCCAGGTAAATGTCCTCGGCATCACCCCATGTAGAGAGGCTGGATTCCGAGCCTCCTATGAGCCCAGCACCAGGTGAGGAAGGGTTGATGAACGTCTGGGTCTCCCTCCAGACTGGGGGATCCCCACAGGCAGAGACGGGTCTCCAGGACCAACATCTGCTGGGCACCAGAAAATGATGAATGAATGAATGAATGAGCAAGTGAATGAGTGTTCAGGGTGGGGCCATGGGGGGTCAAGGCTGCCCACTGTCACCTGTTCTGGGCTGGGACATGCTCAGGACACCAGGCTTTCCCCCCAGCTCTGGGATCTGTACCTACATTGGGCCTCAGTGGGCCCATCTGTGAAATGGGCAACTCGCTCCTGCCCAGTGTCCCTGGAGAGCTGGGGAAATTCTCCGGAAATGGAAAGGCAGGTGGGAAGCCTCATGGGAGCCCAGGGGGCTCTGGCAGGGGTCCTAACCAGTGGAGGCTCCTGGGAACCTGTCCTCACCTTGCCCAAAGCTCTCCTCTCCCTGAGATCCCCAGCCTCGTATCCACTCCTTGTGACTTGAATGTCAGGGTAGGGGAGGTTCGGGCAGCATGTACCAAAAGCTGCCAGGCTCCCAGGAGGGGAGGCCCATTCAGTAGCCAGCCTCCCCAAAGGCCATCTGCCCATTGCTCAGATAGGCTTTGGGGGCCAGAGAGGTAGTGGTCAGCTGGACACCCAGCCAGACTAGCGCCAAGCTGAAACTCCCAGACACCATTAGGTGCAAGTCCCCATTCTACAGTTTGGGGAAACTGAGGCTCAGGGAAATGTAATCACAGGGGTGGGGTGGGTATGAGGGACCCACCAGCTGGGTGTGGCCAGGCTGCTGTGTCCAAGTCCTGTAGGGTGGTCTGGAGCTTGAGATCCAGGGCAGTGATCATTTTGTCCCAGACCCACTGTCCTTCCTTAATCTTTGCCAGGGCAGGTTCCTTTCCACCTCAGGCCCTTTGCACGTGCAGTTCCCACTGCCTCAGACACTCATCCCCTGAGTATCCGATAAGTGCCGCCTCACTCAGTTAGCTCTGCTGTGGGTCAAGGGTGACCCCCAGATGTTCATGTGTTGGAAACCTGACCCCCACTGCAACAGCATTGAGAGGGTGGGATTGTGAGGACTGAGTCTTCGTGAATGGATCGACCCATCCATGGAGTCATGGTCATGGTTCTGATGGCTTTATGACAAGGGCCAGTGAGCAGGTGAGCTCTCTCCTGCTCAGCAGTTCTCACTGTGTGACACCCTGTGTTGCTGTAGAGTCACCACCAAGAAAAAAGCCCTCACCAAATGTGTTTCCTGGACCTGAACTTCCCAGCCTACCAGCCATAAGAAATAACTTTTATTTCTTAATAAGTTACCCAGTTGCAGGTATTCTATTA